ATAATAATAAGAGATTCTAAGTAATGATGGAAAATTAAACAACTGATAATAAGACGATGGAACAGTTGGTGTTGGTATCATTTTAAAGAATGTTAGATGCAGCGCATATTGCTCTTAATTTTATAATGTTATTGCAGGAGACGATTCCAGTCAGTCTGGATGAAACACGCGAGAAGTTGCTTCAGGCGTTAAAGAACGAAGCGACATTTTTACTCGACAACAGTGACGAATTTTCGCATGAGAAAATGAATTTGAACACAATTTCGGCTGAGAAATTACGAAGTACCTTAGAGCAATTTCTGAGGAAACAAATCGACGAAGTTCAATTGCGAACTGATACAAATATTGGTGGTGATTCTAGTGATAGCAGAAGTGATGACAGCATATCCAACTCATCAGCAGTGGTCACTACCACTTCCTCATCAAACCGATCAGCTCCGTCGCCACCTGATGGTTAGTCGGTCGTTTGATTTTTAATTCATTCAATCATATAGCTCGCTGACGTTCAGGAATTCGTCAGATACAAATACTGTCTGATTGTTCAACTGATTATTCGGAATGAAATGAATCTTTTATAGGGAGGAATTTCAGCTTTTTCGAGCATTCCAATTCTATTAAATTGTTCGCCGGATTTTTATGTTTCATGGGATTTCTAGTCGAACTGATATCAACAAACTAGTCAGGAATGCACAAGATGCTGGAAATCAGTTTGAATTTAGCGATCATTTGAGCTGTTCTTTTCATATCAATGCGATAAAGTTTCCTTACAATTAGCTTTCGGCCAATACAGCTCGTAGTTTTGGTGACATGTTCCATTAACCTGGTGCGTTTTTATAAACATCTGAAGTCAATGAACTAAGAAATTGGTGCAGANTATTTTTACTGAATTGTGACGGAGAAAATCACGAAGAATTTTTTCGTTTGCCGTCACTTTGACATAAATTTTCCTGCCAATGCATATTGTTCTATTCATCACCGAAAATTTTCTCAAGATTACGAGTGAATACTTGTCCTAAACAGTGCGACTTTCACTAGTTTTTTCGTTTCTCTTAGGTGCATTGTAATCTGCTGTTTGGTTGTACCCTTATTGATGAATATCATTTTCAGTCATACTTAAAGTTGAGTTCTTCTGGTTTCTAGCATCTAAATTTAGACGGTAGAAAAAAACTATGGAGGGAGTTCAGTGAATTCAATCGAGCTTCATTTCCAAACTACAATGAACAATTATTGGAGATTTAATCATTACATTTCATGATGGTGATAAAAATAAAGGCTATTATGACGATAGCGATATTAAATATCATCTTTGACCATATTTGAATTTTTCTCAAGTACCACATCTGATGGAATTCAATGAGTAAATATTGATAAGATACGTAATTTCAATTTGTTTCTTTTTCAGGCGCAACGTTGAGTTCACAATTAATTTGTCAATTTTTTGTGTTCGGCACACTGTTCGGTGTTGTTTGCTCAATATCAACGTGCACTTGTTGCCTTCACCCACGTACCGAGCGACAACGCAATGCTGAATTAAGTGGTTAGTATCAGTGTAATCGCTGATTATTTTATCAATTATTACTCTCGTTTTATCACTTATGGCTCTTGTTCTCGTCGTTTTTTATCGCAATGTTCTCATTATTTTTATTCATATTTGCGATTGCACTATTTTTTTGTGGGCTGGTGACGTTGTGCGTTTGGATTTGCTTACATAAATGTGGCGTGACAGCAAAAGTGCACTGCGATCAAGCGAGCGTTCAGCATGCATTAACCATGAGATTTGATTGAGTAGATTGAAGAGTTCAATGCAAATTTCTGAGGTCACACCATGTGACATCGCTTGCACTTCAGAGAATTCGCTGTAAAGTAGTACATAATTGTGCTCTATTTTCTCAATATCTCATCGATAATAATAACTTCTACGTGATCAGTGACGTTCCGTTCCAAACACAGCATCACCGATCACAGAAACGATAATTTCTCGTTCATCATTGATGACAATTTCAGTTTCTTTCAAGCTTTCTGCAAAATCGGTTTCTGAAATGCTTACACAAAAATTTGAATTTTCAAAAT